TTTGCCCAAGGCTTTTATCTAAATACCATGCAATTTCTTGAAAGCATACAGACTAGACAAGAAAAGCATTCATCATTCGAAGCAAATTTTTCTTTCTTTTCGTTAGCCGAGAGCCCACCAAGTGACCTACAAATAACTGCCTACAAATAATGGTCTGCTCATGCGCAATGCCGTCCAACTGTGTTTGGCTTTCACCAGCGAATAATGTCTGCGCATGCTCTATTAAAAATGACTCGTGATCTATTTCGGGCAATGTCATTGACTCCGAGGCAAAAAGGCCCGCGAAATGTTGTTGAGATGAAAGGAGCGATGGCAGCTTTTTTTGGCAGTGACAGCGTTGCAATTTCTTACCAGTGTAAGAGATCAAAAATTATTTTGGTCAAAGTTTTGACGTAAGTGTGTTCTCTAGAGAATATAGCGTCCTGAAACTGGCGAAAAATCGCATTGGCGTGGTCTGATTCACTGTTATTGACGTTGAGATCGCTGGTTTGCATGTGGAAGACATGCTGAAAAGGTGGGTAATTTTTTTCTCTTTTTATTTACTGCATGTTCCGTGCAACTCAGTACAAAAAGAAATGATAAAGTAGTGGAAGAAAAATTATTGGGCTTTGTATTGGTACATAAATTAGCTTGTACCGAGTTGCACGGAAGCGACAGTATTGTTAAATGTGTATCCCGTTTTTCTGTCAAAATTCGACCTTGATTGTGTCTCTAACATTCGATAACATTCGACTGTTGATCGAAGAGCGTATTGCAACGCTATCCAAAATGTTTTTGTTGTTAAGATCAAGTTTCTTATCACAGATTCAACTAAAAAAGGTAGAGAGACAGACATTTTTGGGCTTTGTTTCGTTAATATGACTTAGCGTGTACTTTGTTGCTGGAAAAACTATATTTAGATGCTTAATCTCCGCATGTTTACACTGTTTATGGCAGAAAAATAAGCTTACGCTTGGTTTAACTTAATCTCGTGTCACTCGGTACAAAAGGAAATTATAAAGAAGGTAAAGAAATATTCTTAGCGATTGTCTTGCTGTGTAAATTGTCTTGTGGCTAGTGGATCGAAAGCGGCCGGGTTGCGGCAGTTTTCTGAAGTGCGTAGTTCGAAACGTGATTTTGTCGATCGATGCAAATTTCATTGTTGTTGCACGTTATTACAGCTTTGTATGTTACCATATAGAAATTTGAGTTTTATGCGAACTGTCGAATGAGAAAATGTGAGAGTGTTTTCATTAAAACGCTTAGACCGTCTTGGAGCTACAGTTCGATAGGTCCAGCAACATTCTGATTTGTGAAAAAAATTATGTTTACAATGTGCACAGCTGCTGTACATTTAGGCTTGCAATTTTATAATTGAAGGATCGAAGTTTAGATTATTTAGCTCATAAATTTGGCTTGGGATTATCCACACAACGAGTTACTTCGTTAGGAACCCCACTTACGGACATGATTTCCTCCGTGTACAATTTTTTAGTACTAAATTTTTGCACACAAGGCTTTCTGTGGGGGGTGCTTCTTTGCTTGAAAATTGGATCCTGGAAGGAGATGAACAGGGTAATATTCCTGTGAATGCTTTTGTTTTTCTGTCCATCGTTTTCGGCTTAATTTTTTTTGGCGCAAAGTTATGAATGAATGATAGAGTTAACATGCTATTAAGTATTCAAAAGTTCTTTCCAAGAAAAAAAAAAAATAATCCTCACAAATTAAACTTACAGGAATTTAAAGTTTGGACTTAACTTTAAATCTTAATGAAATTTTAGCTGGATCATGCTGATGAATGCAGTTGTTTAGGATATGCAGTTTCCTATTTTGATCTTCTTTCAGAATTATGAGAGAACACTCAAATACAGATCTCATTCAAACATACTTTCATTGTAGTTATCGTTTGTTTCTTTTCCTATAAACTTCTCATCAGGTCTACATTTTGCATGAATTTAATGTGATGTATATTTGAAGGGGTTGTTGTTTCACAATGAACTATTTTTCACTTTGTTTTTTTGATATGAAGTTGAGTTTCTTGTTAGTTCTTGGCTAAGGCAGTGTTGAAGTAGTGACATGTTAACATACTTTATTGTCATGTTCATTTCTCTTCAGAAAAGATTGATTGATCCTGAATCAAACAAAGTGCAGCTTCATGAACAAGAATTTTGACGAAGAAATGTGTACTCAAGCAAATTATATGTCCCTGACAGTGTCAATAAAATTTATTAATGGAAAGATCTGGGTTTTTACTCCTTTGTAGCACTTTTGACTACGCATCATTTTTCTAACCTATATAGTAAAAAGATCATATAGTATAATCAGTATTTTTCCATAACTAACGTATTTGCAATCGAAGTTCTCTTCTTTTATATATAGTATTCCCCTAATTTTAAAAATTTCATTATCTTATTCAGATCAAGCACAGTAACCATTGAAAAGGAAAAGAAAACCTTCTCGGTCATAGACGGCTTTAAAGTTTTGATATTAAAATAGCAATGAAAAGAACATGAATGCAGACACTACAGTTCATTTAGCTCATGTTCAAGCTTTTCAGTTTTTATAAATTAGAAAGTCTTGCTGGAGAAAACATAATTTTGCTTTATCTTTTCGGTAAAAAAAATAATTAAATAACTTCCAGGTGTCTAAGCAATTTCAAGGACCCATAGTGTCTTATTTCTCCGCTGCATAGAGCTGTGAACAAAGGCCGTTCTTTCTAGTGACCCGGCTTTCATCAAAAATATAATATTGTTGTCCTTCGTGATCGTGAAGAGTCCAAAGTTGAATCCGGTAAACCGGTCAAAACGCGAGCATCGCAGGGAACGAATCCCATAGGAATAGGTGAAAAAGGATAATAAAAAGTCTAGGCTATTCTAAAAATATCCGTATATGCATTTGCAACTCATATTAAGCCGCAATTGATCTTCTTTCCACTGGAATAAACAAACGATGGAGGTATTGCCGCCATTTTGAATGTGGCAATGTCACGTGGTCGCGCGTCGACCAATCAGACATTTTTCGCCGGTGAAGTGTTTGGCTGCAAATAATATTCTGCACATGCGTAAAGGAAACCGTGCTTTTCTCCTTCTTGCGATCGCTCTTGCGTGAAAATGGCAGATCGCTTCGCTTCCGAGTATATTAATTTTTAAAAAAAACTCGGTGATCGAATGATAACACAATTATTGAACTCGGTTATCGCAAAATATCGTGTTTTATCAGTGTCTCGCAGATCAATTATTTGCCTCAGCCCTCGGCTTCGGCAAATAATTGATCTGCTCGCCATAGACAAATCACGATATTTTGCTCAACCTTGTCCAATAATTGTTAATTATTTTCTTAAAGTATTCCACTTAAGAAGTGGACAGATAGACTTCGGTCCAAGATAGACTTAATTTAAATAACCGACCCTTTATGTTTCATTAGCTAAACCGTTCATAACTTGGCTATGTTACAGGGCTCGAAATTAAAAAAAATTCTCCATCGCAATTTGCGAGTAATTCCTAAAATTTAGTCGCAAAAGTAACCAACCCAAACAAAATATGATACAAGTAATTAGAGAGTTATTGACAAGTTAACATCATTTAATTTTATTCCTCCAACAGCTTCTGTGAATTACCATCGAAAGGAGGGTAAACATTTACTTGCTGAATAAACAAATGAAATCTTCTGAATCGTTCACAGTTCAACAGGAACTTAAGTTAAAATATTCATTGCTGGAAACACTATTGTCTCTAAAATATAACATCCACTAATGCCTTCCGCAGGTTAATAGCATCAATAACAATCCAAACTACTAACTTTTGTAAAAAAAAAAGATAAGAATATAATTCAGTAGTTACAGAATCAGAACATTTTAAAACTACATGATGCTTTACCAAGGGATCACAACGCAATCGCGCGAAGCTAAGCTTATAAAATTATTTTAATAACACCAACAAAGTCTCACGGTGCAAAAATGATGGACTTAGTTTTTCCTTGAAAATTTGGGCCCTAGAAAACAAATTATTTACAGCATGATGATATGTTGCGCAAATTTTGTACCCGTCAAAGTCAGGATATCCTACAACTTCGACTTCGGCGCTCTCGCATCGCCATGCTTGTCTTCGTTGCATACCGTTAGAAGCCTGGGCTGAGCGAGGAAAATATCTCACCAAACACGGCTGTGGAGAACTAAGTAATACCGGGACTTCACCGGTATTTGAATTTTAATACCTGTCCGTGACAGCATTTACATTTTATAACGGAAACAGAAGAAAAACCGAACTTCAAGCTTATAATTCTTTCCCTTTAAAGGGAAACTTTCAATACTTGTTGTTGTTCAAGTATTTCGAAATATGGCGTCGCGGCAGTGTGAAAACTACTCTAAAAAGAGATTACATACATTGTATTAACGTATAAAAAACAATGCAACGAGTATAAATGCGATCAAGTGCAATTTAGAGTATCGGGCGCAAATGTCGTATTCGCTATCCGGTGAAACCGGCATGTCAAACGATACCCCTAGCATGTTAGCCTGCTTGTAGGAAAAGAACATTTTAGTTAATCTGAAAGAAAGTGTTTTGAGTTCAGTAATATAATAATTTTTAAATTAAAAGTCAGCACTTTTTCACCGAAAAGTGAGGTCCCCTCGAGCGTTCTCCTTTTGATTTGTCCAATTCAAACCAACGGTCAACTGCAGCAGCCGGTTCAAAATCGGCCACGGGTGGGCCCTCGGAAGACAGGCGGATCAGGTCCTCTAATACTGCTACGTTAAGGCTTGCTCTGGTACTGGATTTGATCCGATTCTGCGATGGCACAGCTCTTTCACATTGTGCTGCCGAAATTGGCAGTACAAGAAGAATCTCCACTTGGTGTAAAACATCTGCGTAGTCCTCCTTGTACGGCCGTTTGGTCAGTAACGTTTCTCAGAGGGTGGAGTAATCCATCTTGCGGAATTGGCTATTCAGTGCGATCTTCAGGGAAATCCACTGGTCTTGGACGTTCTGGACATCGCAGCCTGATCTTTCTAAAGCCACTTTGAACTAGTCGGTAAGGCGTTGGATCTCCTGCCTGCCATAGTCCATGAGGTCACTACTGCGTGTAGGCCAGACATCCACAATGAAGATCAACATATCTTTGACAACCTCTTTGGGGCCATAAACAGTTGTTGATGTTTCAATGGACGGTCGACACCCCGTTGCTTCCAGCAAAACGTCAAACCTCTCGTTTAGGGCTCTAATACAGAGATTAACAGCCGTCTCAATCTCAGACTGAAGGCTGCTTGTAGTAATTCCTCCACGTGTTGCTTTTCCCTCAAGCGTGCCACTGAGAACCACACCAGGAAATGACTGGCCCTTTTTCATTGTCGGTAGACAGTTTTCTAAATGACCATCTGGAGCAGGACGGCTTGTGAGGCATTCAACGCGCAGTTTGGATTCCTTCAGATGAGATACGATAGTCGGAAGAATTATATCGTTCCGCTGCATCTGTAAACTTAGTCGACTTAAAATAGAAAATAAATCGGCTAAGAAGTGGCAAAATGCAGCGAAATGAATATCATTCATTTTCGAAGAGATATATCGTGCTCGGCCTTGAATGTCAGCAACCTTTGAATTTACGCTTAGATCTTCCATGTGCATAAGCACGGCGGAGTACTGAGCAGGTTCAGACACAGAAACAGACTTGGCAGTTCCCACAAACACGTTAAGGGCTAGGCTAACGTGTAGTAGCCAGCGAGTGCCTCTGACTTGTGTTGGCTTTAGTATGTCAACTTGCAGTTCATCGGCAATGGATTTTAATGCACGTACACTCTTGGGACTGTACGGGTATGTTTTCCAGATGAGATGGAGCACACTGTAAACATCATCCACCGATTTACAGCTCTTCTGGAGTTCCAAAAGAGCCAGTTCGAGCCGATGAGGCAAACAGTGAAAATCCACAAGAAACGGAAACTCTTTTCGCAGAAGAGCAGCAAGCCCAGCTTTCTTGCCGAGGTTTACAGATGCACCGTCGGCGCCAAAGGCAACGAGCTTTTGTTCCCAGTTTACACTAGCTTCTTGGAACGTAGTGCAAATAGCATCCTTTAGTCCTAAAATAATAATAATTGAAAACGATATAAAGCCTCTTGCGAACTTCCTATATAACTATTTAGATAACACACAGAAGGTGCGAGGAGAAAAGTTGAAAACTTTATTGTACTCTTACCGAAAAAAATATTGCAGTGACAACATAATCCTGTGGGATCAAATCTCAGAATCATCTATTACCACCACAGAATAAAAACTAGCTTTTCGTGGAATTCGACAATCTACTGGCATGGGCTATACCATTCGTCTTGACGTTTCTTTGCTCCTTTTAATAAAAGTTAATTTTTATAACGATATCATCCTTCTGGCTTTTTGAAGAAACCAGAAAATTTCGGTAATTTTAAAACCTATATATTTTTTTACTTTTTTTTTCAAGTCAATGTATTGCCTTTACAACATAAGAGAAACTGTAGTGTAATGTTTAACTGAATGTTCTCAGTCTAAAGTCTTAAACGTTAAACTTGGTATAGCAGACTACCTGAATTCACAACCACGCCTCTTTGAGTTCGATTTATTTCACTTACCTTGGGCATGTGTATGCTCGACTGCCTTGTGTCCAAGCAAGCGATTAACTGGCTGACCATCTGTTAGGTACCGACAGAAAACAGTTTCGTTTTCAAGACCACCTGCATCCGTGGCTCCATCTGCCATCACGCTGATGTAGTTACTTTGGTTTATCCCACTAACTGTTCGTTCTTTAAACACCTTTCCGAGAACAGACACCATCTCAGCGCAAGATTTATCGTTGGCATACGTGGACGATATCTGCAGACCATTCTTCTTTTGAAGGTTGATTAGACCTGGAAACTTACTAAAAGGAATTTTCTCCTTCGCAATGAAGTAGGCTGTTGTCATATTCACTACTACCTCTCTCCGTTCCTTTTCTTCCTCGTTTTTTTTTCCTTTGTTGAAGCTCTGGGCAATCACAATCTCACGCACCGGCTTCTGCATAGCTAGTACAGCAGTCTGTGCGCTCAAGTGGCCATTACTTTTTGCATACTTCTGCATGGAATCCTTCTTGATAGATTAACAGCCTGTCAAAAACTGTGTTGCCTGCTACATCTGGGGCTTTACAACAGAGGCTACACAAGAAGGCTTGGTCTTCTTCCCTAATAGTTAGCCATGGAAATTCATCTTTCCTCTTGTATAGCATCTTACCCTTGTCAATATTCTTTATGGGTGGCGCAGGTGATATTTTGGCATCTGGTTGAATTTCTTTGCTGAGGTTAGCAGCTGGAGACATTCGTTTTTGCCCAGATGGACTTCCAATAAGAGTTGACTTACTGGCCTCACTGCTCCCCGTAGTGGACTTTGCCTTGATAAAGGAGGAGAGAGTCGCTTGTTGTTTTGCTTTCTCTCCAAAGCAGTCCTTGATTTCGTTTTTCTTCACAGGACAAGTTTTAACCTCTTTCTTTTCGCTAATCAGTGGAACGAAATGGTTAGGTTCAAACAATGAACCTGGGGTATTGTCAAAATTTCCATACTGCATTCTCCGGAGGCTGGTAAGACGTGGGAGGTGTTCTTGGATGAAGGCCTCTGTGCATAAGCATCCGATAGCGGAAATTCACGTCAGGATACACTGAATGTACTGGTTGTGAAAGGAGAGAAGCAAGCCCCAACAAATGTACAAAAGAAGACCACTTATACCTGGTACTAGCAACAACCTTGCTGCCTGTTTCGGAAAATTTATTCATGGCTTCGTCAGTTAAAGCAACAGAAAACAGTGTTTCCAAGGTAATATCCGAGTTGATTCTGTTCGTTGAAAAGGCATCATGGTCACAATAAAACTGCGCTTTAAAATATAATTCACCTGCAACTAAGAGGCGCAATAATATTGCAAGAGATTCATTCCCGTGTAGAAGAATTGAACTGGAGTTAAACAAGCAGTCTCCGTTTGCCGTAGCTTTGATCGCAGAAAGACGTTCGCCTTTGACCTGGTTGACATCTGCTGGGATCAAACACGTGGCGAAGTAATCGCGAGGAAGATTTTGAAGAATAAGGTCACTTGCAGTTCTAATCTCGTTTCTGAATACGTCTAGCTTTCTCGTTAATATTCTCTTTGCCTCTTCTAAATTTTCATTAATAAGAAGAACCTTAAAAGCGGATAATTCCTGGTCATTTGCATACATTGTGAAGCAAAGTAGACATGGCAAACAAAAATGGAATACTTCTACCGGAACCGGAAATTAGAAAGGAAGATTTCCTAGAAATTTCATGAGCGTTGCACGACGTAGTTTCTGAAAAAGTGCGACTTCAAAGTCAACGAACTTCAGAAATCAACGATAAAAGTCACGTAACATTTAACTTGAATTTCGCAGGATTTTTTCGGATAAAACTACTGCAACCAGTAACAAGTAAGACACAAGGCTGTTAAATGTAATTTATTTATAAGCTAGGCTCTAAAACGGTCGCAAAATCGCTACCAATGGAGAAATTTTTGTCGCAAAAGCGAAATCTTTATTCGCAAATGCGCCCGATACAGCGGCATTGATTACCATGGATTTCAATAGGATAAAGGGGGAAACCACTCACTTGCGTATTTTATAGAATAACCTTCACATGACTGTTTTCCATCAGATGGGTCTATTTGTCAGTCAATCAATCACCCAATCAGAGGACAGGATTTACTTAACAAAAACAAAAAACTAAAAAAATTAGGTACGAATGTCGCTAAGGATTGAGCAAAATTGGAAATGGTCAAACAAAACCTTCCCTCATACTTATGTGTACTTAGTTATACTTACTCATACTTAGTTAGTACTTCATATGAGACTACTCACTGTGGCATTTGTTTGACTTCTAACAAAAACCTGCACTGGGCATCAGGGGGGTGTTTGGACCAAAAATTGCATTTTTTGGAACAATTTTCTCCTTGAAAATTGGAGTTTTGTTAGGTAATATTTCAGAGAGCAGACTAACAGTTAGAAATCTGTTTGCATGTTAGCAAAATATCATCTTTCTTCTTAATAAAAATGTTATCAATTTTTCTCTAGGCCCCCCTGACGGCCCTGTTCATTGTCATTTACAAGGGGGGGGAACGTTTTTTGACAAGGCTTAAAAATAGACATTCTTGAACACATTTTTTTTTTCTTACTAGCACTCCGATTTAGATCAAATTGAAACAGGATGTAAATATTTCACCCTTTGTAAACCATTTCATGCTTAAAAATCCGCGAGCACTCGATACATTTTTGCATGCCAATCAAATAAAAATGTATACCTGAGACAAAATAGTAAATTTTCGCAACTTTTGTTCGCCGCTATCTTTCTTTTAAATAATGCAATTGGGGCGATGTTAAGTAAGAACGTTGGATGGTTCCTATAGATTGCAATCCTTTACGTTTTACAGTCAGTTGTCGAGCAGATTATCGATTTTTGGTTTACAAAAACAAGCATTGTGTAGTTGGCGGTTAATTTATGCAAATTACTACCCGCGTTATAACTTGGCAGGAAAATCTAATTCGACGTTTTCCAGCAAAATAAATCGCTTCGATGGGATTATTAATAGATAACTGACACATTACATACCATTAACAAAGCAATCAATGCGAGGAACATTTCAGAGCCAAAGTCAAATCACTCACAAGTCAAGGTTAGATCTCATCCATGCATGTCGTTGCGTTGAAACTCTTTCGTTCATCCTCCCATCTTCAATGCACACCTCTAAGCTTAAGTTTCCTTTCACTTTGACAATCTCCCAATTTACTGCAGCTGCTTATAGAAAGACGTAATTTTCTTCACCGGGGAAGAAAATGTAGAAAATGGTGTTTTGTTGGATTGCCTTGCAATTTTCCAGCAGACTGTTCAAGGTAACGCATCTTAGTCACGCAATGTGTCACGTCCTAAGCGCTACACTTGACACCATTATTTTACAATACAGTACTTCTTTCCTCTACTGTACGAATATTAAAATTAATGAACGTTTTATTAAGTATAATGTCAGAAAAACAGTGAAC